TTGTGTACAATCAGTGACTTGAAAAATTGTGCTCTATATGTATTAATGCATTTTTGACTTGTAATGTTTTCATAATGGGTTTCCCATTGTAAGTTGAAAACATTGTAAGTCAAAATAGGTTTCCCATTGTAAGTACAGCAGCATCTGTAATTTTAAAAATGAAAAATGACAAGGGTTGGCAAATATGTGGAGAAATTGGAGCCCTCATACACTATTGGTGGGAGTGTAAAATAGTAGACTCCTGTGGAAAACATTTTGGTGGTTTCTCAATAAGCTAAACATAAAATACTGTGGTCCAACAATCCCACCTCTAGGTATATATCCAGGAGTATTGAAAATGTGTGTTCCAACCAAATTAGTACAAGAATATTCAGAGGAGCACAATTCATAATAGTTAGAAATAACCTGAATTTCTACTCAATGATGAATGAATAAACATATTTGTTGTATCCATAAAATGGGACAATCCTTAGCCATGAAAACAAATAGAATACTGAATGCTACAACGTGGATGGATGATCCTGAAACACGTTACCCTAAGTGAAAGAAGCCATGTGCAAAAGGCTGCCATGGCACAGTTCTATTACATGAAATATTCAAAACAGGAAAATCTATCCTGGTAGAAAGCGAATCATTGGTGACCCGGGGGCTGGTGGGAATAGGAATGGTGAGAGACTGATAATGGGTTTGGGATTTCCTGGTAGAATACTGAAGATGTTCTGAAACAAGATAGTGCTGACGAACGTGGAGAGTGAATTACTAAATGCCACCAAACCAGACACTGGAAAGTAGTCACAGTGGTGAACACTGTGTCATACGCTTTTCACTCTAACTAAAAACTGTAAGTGTATGTTAGTCACTGGCACAAAGTAAGTGCTTTATTCGTGTTGGCTCTTGTCATTCAGAACCTAACTACCCACAGAACCTAATCTATTGTATCCCAATCTGGGGGATAAACTGCTAGGCTCTGATTGTGCACCCCCAAATCCATCCATTGAAATTCATTAGCTACTTGGATAGCAGGGCCTTTAAGAGAGATTAACTCAATGGCTCTGGGTTAGGGCCTTTATAGCAGGGCTTGAGGAGCTGGGTTTGTTTCTTTTCACCATGTGAGGACTCAGCACTCCTCCCCTCTGGAGGAAGAACCACAAGGCAACACCTTGAAGCAGACGACAACTCTCACCACACACCAGTCCCATCACACCTTGATCTTAGACTTCTCAGCTTCCAGAACCATGAGTGATAAATTTCTATTGCTTATAAATCACCCAGGCTCAGGTATTTTGTTATAGCAACACAAACAGACTCAGCCATGAACATACAAAAGTGTATTAAATATCTATTTATAGAACTTTGTCAAACTATAAACAAAGGCTGCACCTACTTTTCCAGTGTTTCCATACAATAATTTGGGTTACAAAGAAATTTTTAATAAATAACCCAAAGTAGAAATCACTTGGACAGTAGAATCTAATCCATAGTAAAATGAGAAATTCATGTGAAAAAAAGTTAAGAAAAAAAATAGTTAAAGGGAAAAAAATTTAAACCCTGCAATACCTTAGAAAACTAATATTGATTGCAGCACAATATTGTAAAGTGGCCATGTAATTTAAATCAGAATAGGAGGGATAGTTCAATATTAAAATATCCATTGATGGAACTCATGACTTCAAGATATTAAAGAAGACATAGTGACACTGATAGAGGCTAATATAAACACAAAGCTAAGAGATATTCTTGTAGAAAATAAATCAAAAGCTTCAAAAGAGTTTTTAATATAGTGGGGATAAAAGATTCTTTCTCTCTCTCTCTCTCTCTCTCTCTCTCTCTCTCTCTCTCTCTGTAGCTGTCAGGAACTTTATTGTTAACATTAATTATGCCATTGGACCATAGGATTGAGCATTTGACGTTTCAACTATGATACAGAATAAGGAGTAATATTGTTATTTTATAGAACTCAATATCTTTCCTGATTAAATTTCTTACTTTAAGGGCAATCTTGGTATAATAAAGGTCACCTACTGAAAGTAAGACGAATTTGATCCCCAGCACACCACACACACACACCCACACCCACACCCCCCCACACACACACACACACAGTAAGAGGCCTAACTAATGGCAGGATGTTCATATTCCAGACAGGACAAGGATGACTAACATCATCATCATGACATCATTATATAACAGTTTTAGAAGCTTTAACAAGTGTGACGTAAGAAAAGAAGTGGCTATAAATACTCAAATGGAAGAAACACATTATCATCTTTATGAAGAACATGACTGTCTAGTTGGGAAACTGAAAAGAAACTGCTATTATAACAAATAAAGGTTAGTGATGAGCATACAGGGAGTAATGGATTCATCTTCTGTCATCAACAACCACGGTGAAAAGATAAAGAAGATATTTTAATTAAGACAATAACAAAATGGATGAAATAAATCTCAAAAACGAAAATACGTAAAATTATCTGAAGAAAATGTCAAACTCTTCAGAGGACGTCTAGGAAGACAGGACTCTGGTAAGACGTGCTGCTCCTGATTTGAAGACTTATCGCGATAATTTTATTCTGATAATTAACTCCTTGAAGTCTTTTCTATCCTGATGACACTGGACCAACCATGTGTCTAAGGAATAACTTTCCCAAATGGACTCTGAAACTGGAGAAATAGGGAACCTAGTTTCTAGAGAGAGATGGCTGGCCCATGGCACACAGGTCCCCCTTTCACAGTAAGAGAAGACGCTGGGTGAACTTAAACCCAGGGAGGGCCAAAGAGGTTCCCCAGACAATCAGCACGCCATGTGGAGAGAAGCAGAGAGAAGCAGAGAGAGGGGAGCCTGGCATTCACCACCAGCTTCCCGCTCTCCCTGGAAGGAGGGATGACTGGAAGCAGGCATGAGCCCTTGAAAAGACAGCATGCTGACTGCAGCTCCCTCAGTTGCTGATGGATTGCCTTCCCTTTCCTCTTCCAGGAGCTGAGCTTGCCCTTGCTAGACTTACCGCACTCAAAGCTGACCCTGATGGATCCTATTTGTGTTTAAGTTTTTAATATTGTACCCACCATGGATTTTTAAAAAATTAGTTTTGGGGTTTCTAAACGATTGCATTAAAACATCATTTCCTTATTAAGCTTTTGGTTTCCCTTTGAATTTGGGACCCTGAGTGAGCGCAACACATCTCCACCTGGTCCCAGTTCTGACTGCTACACTCTGAATGAGTGCATCCAAGTGCCCGCAGGTTAAATGTTAAAAAGCGACAGAGTTGTGGTCTACTTTCACTAATAATCAAGGAAATTCAAAAATTGAAATGCAAGCACACACGTCTTTCACAATTTGTCAAAAGAATAAGGAGGTGGGCACTCTCATGATTCACTGATGGGTGTCTAAGTGAGGATGATTTTTCTTTAGAAGTCAATTTGGTAGTAATCATCAAACCGTGTAAAATGTACAGACTCCTCTGATGGAGAAAAAGGAGTCACCCAATGTGCCCATCCCCCTGTTGTTTAAAAGACAGTGAAGTAGAAACAAATATTCAAAAGCTAAGTCAACTTGTTTTGTGTGTGAGAGGTCATACTGCTAAAGGAATGGCTAAGGGAAATATTAAAGATCTTCCCTGTCCATGTGCCTGCCATGACCTTCACCCACCCTTGAAGGAATGTCTAAAGAATGCTGACTTCTCTGTGTGTTTGACCCACTGGCCCCTGCAGGAGAACTCAGAGTTATTCACTTATCTCAAAGCTATCACCCTCTCCCTTCAGGATGTGGCCAATCCTTGAGGAGATCACTAGGTCACGCAGATTGTTAGAGCTGGGCTTTCTTTACTCTAACTTTTACTTAAGGAACCCCACTTGGGAATAAGCCTTTGGAGTCTCACTGCCAAGAGGATGTTCTGCCCTGCACTTCCTAGTAAAGACCCTGAATAGCTGCCCTGGGACTCCCCACGAACATGATCCGGTGTTTCTCCTCCTGTTCTGGTGATATCCCCCCACCTCCCGCTTCTTCTCCGCACTCACCTATCTATCACTTTTACTATTGCGCTTGCTTCCATATTATTAACTAAGATAAATGCCATCTTGTATAAAGAGGATGTCTTTATTGTCTATCCAATCCGACCTGCCAAATTCAGCAGCTGCACACATTCATAATGCTTTAATGTTACAGCGGGACAGCCATTAAAATGTTCTACACGTGTATTTGGTAATATTGAAAAATTGTTGCACGAAGAAAAGGCAGGTTTCAGAGTACTACAAAGAGTAATTGTAAGTACACATTTATAAACATATAGGAAAAAGTGTCTGAGAAAGTCGTACCATAATATCAACAGGGCTTATTGCTAGCTAGTATACCAAATAAATGGTCATCCTCTTTTGGAGAAGGCTGTTGGTTAAGCACGAGGGTTCTCCAGTCAGTCTAGGTTTGTATTCCAGTTTCACTGTTCACTGGCTCTGTGACCTTACACAAGTTTTTTTAAAAAAACTTTTTGAACTTCTGTTTTTTTTTTTTAATTATATTTTCATCTGTGAAAATGGGGACATAGCCACTTTATTGAGTTACTGTCAGGATAAAATGAAATAATTCATGTAAAAAGGCTTAGCATGGCACCTGGTAGAACTACTGATATCTGCATATTCTCATTTTTCCAAGACAGATATATGAAATCTAAAGATATAGGTCATAACCCTTCCCAAACAAAAGCAATAAATTCGAATTTCTTCATGTCTGATGTTCGTGATGTCGAGAACTCACTTTCTCTACCACTGGATGCTTTTTTTTTCTTCTTCTTTTTTTTTTAATCACTGGATACATAGTGTCTAAGTTCCCAGGTGGTTCACAAGTAAAAATGGAAGTTTCTACCTTCTTGAAAACTGTTAAGAAACCTTGACCAGCTGAGTTTATAGGAGGCTGATAGTTGAAAGGCCTAGTGTTCCACATGAAATTTTAAAGATGTGGATTTTGTATCAATAAAGGCTGGAATTTTATGTAAAAATATAGGTCCCACCTGTGCTTGTTTGTAGGGAATGAGCTGGAGAAACTTCGGTTGCATGTATAACACTGGTACTTTTTAAAGAATAACCTGGAAAGATGAGGTGGAGAAATCACTTAAAATGTACTTCCCTGAAGCTACAGAATGGGGGAGAATACCATCCAACTATCCACTTGATAGGGGATTAATATCTAGAATATATAAGGAACTCAACAGACGTAACAACAACAACAACAACAACAGCAACAAAACCCAGTTGTCCATTTTCAAATTGAACTGGAAGAAACTGGAAAACACCTTTAACTTCATTGTCCCCCAGGATGACTGCCAGGGATCTAAGCGTTTCTTCCCTGAGTCGATGAATCTTTCTTGTTTTATCTGGTTGATTGCTTACATGTAGTGATGCCCTCAGAGGGCTGCACACACCTTGGAGAGAAACTCAGCTCTTCTACTTTGGAATCTCAAAACAAAGTGGTGAATTTGACTCTGGTCTAAAGCATCAAAAGAGACAAAGCTGCAGAGATGACCCTTTGCACCAGGGCCAGCTTGGTGGCGGGAGATTGAGGGAAGGGTGGGTGATGTTTTATGCTTTGTCGATTCAGAATGCCAGGCGGGTCATTCACTGCTGAGGCAGGCTGGACTAGGACACTGCCTGATTCCTGGGATGTGGTAGAAGTTTCTTGGATAATAATATGTCCTGATAGTCTCTGTTACTGGAGGTGAGGCTTGGTAATGAATAATAGAAAACAAGTCCTACAAAGACTGAAACTGGGGAAACTATCAGCAGTGTGTTTTCTATGTTCACTGTCACTGTGCTCGATGATATAGACCTTTTAGCAAACAGAAATTGTTTCAGTTTATTTTTTAAAATATACAAAATAGGGGCTGGGGATATGGCTCAGTGGTTGAGTGCCCCAGTTCAATCCCTGGTATCCCTCAATGCACCCCCCCCCAAAAAAAAAGAGAAATACCATCACCTAGAGATCACTTTGGAGGATTTCTTTTCAATATTTTAGTTTTAGCTCAGAAAACTTCACAAAGTACATTTTAAAGATGTGAATATGATAACAAAGGCTAAAATTTTATGTAAAAATATAGGTCCCACCTGTTCTTGCTTGTGGAGAATGAGCTGGAGAAACTCCGGTTGTAAGTACATCATTGGCACTTGTTGTTAAAAAGTAACCTGTAAAGATGAGGTGGAGAAATCACTTAAAGCTACAGAAAAGGGGAGAATACCGTCTAACTATTCACTTAATAGAGGATTAATATCCAGAATATATAAGAAACTCAACAGACTTAACAACAACAACAACAACAAACCCAGTAGTCCAAATAAAAATGTGGAAATGATCCAAAATGTATTTCTTCTTTTCAGACAAATGGCCAACAAGCAGATGAAAGAATGCTCACTCTCATTACCAATCAGGGAAATTCAAATTAAAAACCAACATATCATCTCACTCCAGTTAGAATGGCTATTTAAATAACATAAATGCTGGAAAGGATGTGGCAAAAAGTAACTCCTATACATTGTTGGGAATGTAAATGGATACAGCCACTATAAAGAACAGTATAAGTTCCTTAAAAAACTAAAACTAGATCTACCAAGTGATCCAGCAATCCCACTGCTGGGTATACATCCAAAGGAAATGAAGTCAGTATGCCAAAGAGATACCTCAACGCACATGTTTCTTGTAGCCCTACTCACTGTAGCTGAGATATGGAATCAGCCTGGATGCCCATCAAGAGATGAATGGATAAAGAAAACATGGTAGTGTACATAACAGAGTACTATTCAGCCATGCACTCATATTTGCTCCCTAGTCCATAATTATTAGCAAAACCAATATCTGTGTTAATAACATATATATTATTAACATTTGCTAATTATGATAATTACTGTAGATAATATGCAGTGAGTAAATAGGGCTTGACCTCATATGAAGCACTGGAGTTAAGTGCACTACACTAAATACTTTGATCAGTCCCTCTGCTATTGCTGTGAAGCAGGTACCAACATTGCCAGCATTTTACAGAGGAGGATGTTGAGGCAAAGAGGGGTAAGTCTTGTGCCTTAAGGTTTCCCAATTCAAATGGGGAAGCAGATTTGAATGCAGTTCACTCTGTGCTCTTACTCTCTTTCATCCCCTAGGATATCTTAGACAATGCTGCCTCTCTTCCCTGTGTCTACAAAAGATCCTTAATATTTACAGGTCACGGCAATGTCTATGTGTTGATGGGCTAAAAAGACTTCAAGTAACTGGCTGCTCCTTATTCACAAGCTGAGTGCTAGTATTTCCAACACAGATACACTGAATTTGAACAGACATTACCTATAATGTCCTCAGACGGAGGCCCAAAATAAGGTTAATTTAATAGAATCTAATAATACTTCCATGCAATTTCCTTATTTTAATGAATGGATTTAGATTTCTCACCAGACTATATAACACTTAAGTCAATAAAAATTTTGTATTTTGTTTTCACTTTTCCTCAGTAAACAGATCCACAGAGAGAGGAAATGACTTCCCCATGATTACAGAGTTTAAGCCCATGGCTTGTCCATTTTTTGGTAGGAGAAGTAGGAAATTACACTTTCTAAAAATTAGAGAACCATGTGGTGACCATAATTTCCATTAATAACTCTTTATTTGGAAATGAATTTCTTCATTACTCAAACCAAGCCACAAATTTATTCACACAAAGATATTTCTTATATCTGATAAAATGCTTTTCATCCTAGCGAGAATTGAAGAAAGCTTTTCCTATCTGAAAAATACTGAATCAGCCCCCCCAGTACTGGGTTCCCTTATGCCACTGCCCCACATGGTCAGTTGAATCCCAGTAAAATCCATCTACCAGAACGGAGTCTGAGATACTATTCACTTAAACTTACTTAAGTAAGAGAACTAAAATGGGGGCATCTCACATTTAATCCATGAACCATGTCCAAAAAAAGCATCAAGCTAAAACAAAAGTCTCTTACCTGACAATAGTAATCCAACTGTTATTCTCTCATACATAGTGGAATTATGAACAGGCTTGCAAAGTCAGAGCAAGAGAACCACCAATGAGGGCGGAAAGTATCAGCATCTGGCCCCACCTAGATTCTGTTATCTTTCCTGCTCACCATCCTGAGGCCACCATCTGTTGATAGGTAGTGGGTGGCATTTTAAATAGTGCATAGTTGTTAAGTGCCTGTTAATAAAGATACACAAATATCTGCTTAACTGTAACTATAAAAGTGGTAAATAAAATCTTCAAAAAACTGGCTGCTATGTGTTAAATTTACTTTGCATAAGTTGAGTGGGCATGATGAATTAGTCACCAAAACCCATTCAATTGGACAAAGGATCAGACTGAAGAGGCTGGAGGTCAGAGTACCGGCCAGGCTATTGTGAAATTGTGAATCTCCTCATTTATATGTGGGGATCCTTGAGGTCCAAGATGAAGTGATTTCTTATATGTGAAATAAGTCGTTTGAGAACTTTATTTACCATTTGAGTGCTCTGAGGTTTAAAAAAACTTATGAAACTCATGACAGGCCAAATAATAATAAAAGAAACACAAGAGAAATGAGTTAATACGGAGACAATACGTGCAAATGCTCAAAACCAAAAACAGACAAACCCAAAACCTTGTTGTAAAGCACATTAAATCACAGGTGTGGAAATCTTAAGAAGATCATTGTTAAAGGAAGACAGAACAAAAAAGTATAGATCATAGGCAGCTCCTACGTGAGCATAGGGCCCAGGACAGCAGTGGACACCCTGCTGGAGGGCCCCCGAAACCAATCGACTCTCAATAACCTTGGGTTAACACAGGTTTGTAGCCTCCTTCCAGTGGGCGTGTTGACTCTGCCTGGCTGGATTGAAGAAAGGCAAACCCTGCTGGGTTCTCTGTGGAAATTAGAGGTCAGACCCAGAAGCAGGCAAACTGGGGTGTGGACTAGAGCTGCACAGTGACCTCTAGTGGCATAGTTGCATAATGCAAGGAAAAAATGTGTGTCCTGAAAAGACACAAGAAAAAAATACAGGTCAGATGACACTTTTCACTTTCAGACATCTCCCCAGACTCCTTTATATTCTTGCAAAAACACATGTTTGGGATTATCATAAAATCCTGCCTATAAAATATATCGTTCAAATGTGTTAGACAAATCCGCCTAGCTTTAGAGAATTTTCAATCTGCCTCAAAACCAGCGAATACTTGTGAAACATTGAATCAAATACGATAACCACATAAAAATTTCTTGGTACTATATGTCCTCAGGATATTTTTTTTCCTTATTGTCATTGGATGAGTCACTGTTATGACATGGTCAAACAGAAAGAGGAGAATATCATACCAGAACATCAACTTGGATGGACTGACACAGAATAATATCTCACCTGTTTCATGACCAACCATTCATTTTTAAAAATATTTTTTTAGTTGTTGATGGTCCTTTATTTTATTTTGCTTATTTTTATGTGGTGCTGGGAATGGAACGCAGTACTTCACGTGTACAAGGCAAGTGTTCTACCGCCAAGCTACAACTCCAGGCCCCCAACTATTCATTTTGCCTATACTTATTTCCTAACTCTTTCAGGCTCAGACTCAGGTCATTCCTGAAGATGATTGTCTGTTAGTCTGATCTGCCACTGTGTGAAGGACCCAGAAACAAGGGAGGAGTAGGAAAGTGGAGTCATAATGGTTTTCATTAACGGCCTCCTTGGTACTTCATCAGCATAGGAATGTCCATCTTGTTTTTAGGAATGTCCATTTTGCTATGCCGGAGTGGTCTAATTACTTCCTTTGAGCTTCTTTGTTGGCATATCATTTAAGTTTTAAAATATAGGACTGGGATTGTAGCTCAGTAGTGGAACACTTGCCTCACACTTGTGAGGCACTGGGTTTGATCTTTAGCTGAAAGGACACTTGCAGAGTCCCCACAAAGTCCAAAGGAACAGCCTTGTCGGTTTGTCTCCTTCTACTGACTATAAACCTCTTGTGTGAGATTCCAGTGTGTGGAGTGATCTTTGGACTTTACATCGACTTTGCAAGTATCCTTCCACTAGTACCACATAAAAATAAATAAATAAAATAAAGATATTGTGATAAAGGTATTGTGTCCATCTACAACTATATAGTTAGACAAATCTGACACTCAAAACAACCCTGTTAAAGAGGTAGAACAGATATTATCATATATATATATATATATATATATATATAAGTTGCTGTGGCAGAGCAGCAAGGACTATAATTCAAAGCATAAAGTAGACCAACTTCTCTCCCTGAATGGTTCAGGTTGCTCTATCATGGTCCACATTGACAAGAAGGAAACTGAACTTAATAAAGTCCTGCCACACTTGGCCATTTGGTAAGTCCCCCAGTGTGCACACTGAGACTCTTGATTCCACACATCTGGTAGGTTCTCATCTGTTCCTTGGCCTTGGGAATTCCCCCTGGTTGGTTGTTTTTCTTGTATCTGTTACTGCCCCTTTTAAGACATGGCCAGCACTGCATTGATTCTCTGTGTATTCTTGGGAAAGATCTTGACTGTCAAGTTAAAGGTTCCCACCTGTCAGTCATGGTTTTGGGGCTCCTCTCTGGTTGTCTCTCTCTCTCTGTTTCTTTTCAATCTTGAAATAAGAATCTGCCAGCAGTAAAGTGAGTTGAAGAGAGGGCCATCTATAGGTATAAGCCTGTCTAAGATAATGTGCTACTGTAGTGATCTGGCTTTTGAATAGCTTCCTGGAGTATTGTACCATCTTGCAGTTGGAGTTGGTCTGTCAAAGGTGAAGTAAGTGGAAGAAATTTGTCTGTGTGGGTCTGTCTGTTTTAAAGGTTCCCATCTGTCAGCCCTGGTTTTGGTGGTCCTCTCTTGTCTGGGTTCTTGTCCGTTACTGGCCCTTTGAGACGTGGGCCATGCTGCATCCGTCTCACCAGTAGTCTGTTGAACAGAGAGATCTTGGCTGCCTGGGCCACCTACAGGGATAAGTCTAAGAGAAGGAGGGTTTACTGCAACACAATATGGTCTTTAAATGTTGGTTTTTTTTATTCTGGATTATTATACAATCTTGACATTGAAATTTGTCTGTCTGGGGCAAAGTATATGAAAGAGATTGTGTATGTACAGGCATTGATGCAGTTGCATGATAAGGGGTCTGAACCATCAGGAAATAAGTTGAAGGTGCCAAAAGGCACTGCCTATGGGGTAAGGAGAGCAGGACACCTGAAGAAACGTTTAAGAAGATTTAACTATTTTAAATCCAGAGCTGGCTCTCCCAGCACTGTTTCTCAGCCTGGCCTGAGGCAACCCCAGATCATCTCACTGTGAGTCAAGGACTTGAGTCCTAAACTGGGGGGAAAATATCCCAGAATAGCTGCCTGGCCCAGAAAACTGGCCAAAGAGAACCTGGCCTCTGCCCTGCTTTCCAGCCCCTTTTGCCCATGGAAGGTGGAGGCTGTGGCCACAAAGGATGTGCTAGTAGGATTCGGCACTGTTAGTTTATGACCTGGGGTCAGGAATAGTCTCCCCTTTTAAGATCTCATAGGACACCCCATTTGGTCAGAGGGTATTCATTATTGGGGCAAAGTTATAACAGTGTCCCATCAAACTAAATGCCTGCAGAGACTGGCAGAATAAATAACTGCACCCAGAAAAGGAAAAAGGCAGAAACTAAGGCCCACCTGTGCTTTGTAGGTAGCCTTTGCAGAAGGATCTTTAAAGAAACCTTAAAGAAAAGGATGGAAAGGCCTCCTCCGTTGCATTATCAATATGCCTGGTATAAGAAAAAGCCCCCAAAGGAACCTCAGGGCACAATCGACAGTGGGGAACTCACTTAAGTTGATGGCATTGTGACAATGATAAGGCAGACAGGCCAGGCTTAAAAATATTCTATACTCCAGCCAACCCCTTGAACGCCACCTGAGAGAGAAAAGATGAAGACACAGTCTATGTATATTCCAGATTGTCTGATTCCTCTCCTGGGATGAAATTTGTTGGGGAAATTAGATTCACAGGTCACATTTGTAAGGATTGTTTCAGAATATAAATTTAAGAAAGGATCCAAAACTAGAAAAGATAAAAGAAGGTTATAGGTATATAAATACATTTTAGTACGGAAAATTATAAGGTCAAAGAAATATTTCTGGATGAGAAAGTATTTTGTCTGGTAAAGTAATATTCTTGGACTAAAGTTCAAGCGAAAGTAAAAGATGTGAAACAAAAACAAGTTGTGAAAGAAGCAAATTGTAGAAGGTTTGTCCAAGGTAAATCTCAAAAACTTTGTGTTTGTGATTAAATTGGCTGTAATTAGCACAGTCAAAATTATTTGAATTTTAATGTACTGATATAAAACAAAGCCTGAAACATTGATCTGCTCTTATTTATCAAGATAATTCTCTTGTGTATGTTACATTTTATTACTTGGGGAAACTAAGTCTTAAAGGAATTAGGGTTTATACCTGTTTTAAAGTAATAAATTATTACTTTGTAACTGGTTAAACAAACAACTGTTACTTAAGTTATAACAATATAGTTGACACTCTAAGTATATGTGAAAATGTGTATGTATGCAGCTAAGAACTGTATCAGTCTAAGCCTTGTCTAAGTGTTATATAAAAGTTTATAAAACAAAAGCTTATATAAGTTTACAGTCAAGATAACCAATAACTGCACTCTTTTATACATTGCATCTGACATAGAAGGGCCACACGGTCATTTGAAGACCTTTTATACCTGTTTGCTTTGACTAAGTCAATTTCTGATCATTAACCCTGTTTCCTAAATATATAAAAGATTTAAGGCTATCCTTTGATTTTCATGAACCCATGCAGACTTGTGATTATTTTTACCATACACTCTGGATTCTAAATTCTACTTTAAATATTAATCTTATTTAAATAAAAAGCTTAGAAGAGCACTTTGCCAATTTGGTGTTCTCCAAAATTATCTGTAGCAAAAGTCTCAAGCTTGTATAGAAATAACAAATATGGTTGGGATTTATTTATGTCATTTGATGTTTCATAGCTGGTTAAAATACCTTGTTGTTGCTAAATATATATATATATATTCCAATTCCAGTGTGAATGGTAATACAAAATCATATATAATTTTGTATTACCAT